TATATGGGATCCCAGGTCCAAGGAGAGATCCCCAGATTGTTCTCTGGACAGAGGAGAGGGTGCCTGAACTGGCCTTGACCCATAACCATACTGATGAATATTTTGCTTATCACCATAGATCCTTCATCTGGTGAAGGACGGCGATACAGACGGAGACCCACATTGGAGCACCGAACTGAGCCCCCCAAGGTCCAAATGAGGAGCAGAAGGAAAGAGAACGTGAGCACGGAAGACAAGATCAGAGGGAACCTTCATCAGACGATGGATGGCGATACAGACGGAGACCCACATTGGAGCACCGGACTGAGGTCCCCAAGGTCCAAATGAGGAGCAGAAGGAGGAAGAACATGAAAAAGGAAATCAGGACTGCGAAGAATGCTCTCACCCACTGATACAAGGGAACGGATCTAATGAGAGTTTACCAAGGCCAGTTGGACTGGGACTGAACGAGGACGTGATCTAACCAGATTCTCGGAATTTGGCCGGATTCTCTGAATGTGGCTGGCCCGAAGTCTTTCTGAAAAGCCATTGACTATGACACTGGGACTTGTTTCCTCTGCATATACTGGATTTTGGGGATCCAGTCTGTTTGGATACTCACCTTCCTGGACCTGGAGGGAGGAGAGGAGAACTTGAACTTCCCACAGGGTAGGAAACCCTGACTGCCCTAAGGGATGAAGAGGGAGGAGGAGAGGGAGTGGGGGGAGTGGGAGGGTGTTGGGAAGAGGGGCGGAAATGGAAACTTTTATAATTTAATAAAATTACTTTCAAAAAAAAAAGAAACTATTCTATAGTATAATCTTGTTGTCCTTTGGTTCTTTTTTGACTCTTTAAAACTTTTCTTAATGTACTAATATTATTATCTCAAAATTTATAAGATTTATATATACAAATATGAACATTTAACTTCTCTGTTGTGATATTAATGGTCATATAGAGTATTAAGTCTAGAAATAGGCTTCATCTAGCTTCCTGTACATTATTTCAGACTTGAATCTGAAGCAGGTAACTAAGAATTAAACTTGTGTACCCCGGATATATTTAATAGACTGTGGTCCTTTAACTTCTTTGAGATCTGCTGCATATGACCTTTAAAATGCTTAAGTTTTCTTTAATGACCTGTGACTATTTCTAGCAGTGACCTTTGAAGTCTCCAAGAAGATGATGTGGGCCAATAGTGATGAATCCACCTGAATTGTGGTAATGTTACTAATCTTAAAATCACCACCTAAAGATCAGCTTTGGACTATACATTTCTCAAGACAATGTGGAGGGTTAGCTGAGATGGTTCAGCCTTACACACTACTTCAGACTGGACCTCAGATAATCTCTACACTTTCCAATCACATAGGGAGTAAGCAAAAATAATACAGCTATCTTTTCTAAAACTTGACCATTATCTCAATGTTCTTAGAGTCCCTTAAAGATGCTGTCACCTCAGACAATAGGAAATAGTCTAGAAAGCATGATATCCACATTCTCAAGAGGTGGGGTGGGTGATTTTTGGTCATTCAGTAGATTATAGATTCATATAATAAATCTATAATTTATTAGGGACCTAGGCCAGAGCAGGCCTTAGGTAGTGAGCTCCATGTGAGTGAGACAGAATCAGCTACCTAGGCCATAGCAAGCCTGAGAAAGCGAGCTCCACGGGAGTGAGAGCAGCGCCAGACCAGGGACATCTGCAGACGCAGAACTGAGCCAGCAACCTGGGCCAGAACAGACCTGAGACAGAAAAATCCACAGGAGCAGGTACAGGGGAGCAACCGCTGAATGAGAAACCAGAAAACATCACCCTTAACAACAGCCACAATAATATAAAATCTCTTGAGGTAACACGAATCAAAGAAGTGAAAGACCTGTTCAAAAAGAACTTAAAGTCTTATAGAAAAAAACTGAAGTAGACACCAGAAAATGGGAAAAATCTCCCATATTCTTGAATAGGTAGGATCAACATAATAAAAATGGCAATCCTACAAAAAAATCTATAGATTCGATGCAATCCCCATCAAAATCCCAAGACAATTCTTCACAGACCTCAAAAGAACAATACTCAACTTCATATGAAAAGAATAAGAAAGCCAGGATAGTCAAAATAATCCTGTACAATAAAGGAACTTCCAGAGGCATCACCATCCCTGACATCAAGCTCTATTATAGAGCTGCAGTAATAAAAATGACTTGGTATTGGTTTAAAAACAGAGAGGTTGACCAATGGAATCAAATTGAAAACCCGAATATTAATCCACACACATATGAACACCTGATTTTTGACAAAGAAGCCAAAATTGTACAGTGGAATAAAGAAAGCACCTTCAAAAGAAATGTTACATGCCAGCACAGCCTGGACTTGCTGAGACTGGGGGTGGGGGTGATGGTGGTGGTGCTGGGATTGAGACGGAGGCTACTTTTCAGATGGAAGAGCAGCAACCTTTATTTTGTCCCAACCGAAAGCCTTTTATACCTCTACTGCTTCTGTGGAAACCACGGGCCAGAAAGAACACAAACATCCTTGTCAATTACAGACCACAAGGAAGTTCAACTGTCAGTCAGAGGGAGTGAGGGCAGCTAGATCACAACAACTCCCCCTGTTTTATTTTATAATGCCTTGCCTGCCGTGGGGAATAGCCCTCTAATATTCCCTGTCTTAGGCGGCATTCTGCCCCAAAGTATTGCCCTCTGTGGCTACCCAGACACACAGCCCTAAACCAAGTATCCCGAGGACTGACAGCACCAACAAGCCAGACCAACACTGCAACCATCTAGCATGTACTAACTGGGTGGTAAAATTAACAAAAGCAGTATTTCAAACTCCTCTCATATGACAGCTGAGTTCCATAACAGTACCAGAAGCATGCAATACAATGTCATGAGTAAGATACATAACATGATACTCTGACTTGGCTTGTTAACATTTAAACCCCCTCCCATAATAAACCAGGGGCTAACTTGAGTTATTGTTTGTACAAAATCTCCAGCTGTCTTCCTTGTTACTTCCATACCTTGTTGCTTTAAGAGTTTCAGTTACTTTTTGAGGCCTTCAATTCACCCTCCTGCCTCTTCTTTATACTTGCTAGTCTTTTGGAGGATGTCCCTCAGAGTATGTATGGGGATTAAAAAAAAAAACATACATTACCTTCCCCAATATGCTCCTCGATTTAGCCCACAGATGCAGCGACCCCATTCACGAATTCCCACTTTCCAAATCTTGGTGGAACCTCCACTTGCCATGCCAGCACAGTCTGGATCCTGAGACTGATGGGGGGTTCCGGGATTGAGACTCAGAGGCTTCTTTTCATGTGGAAGAACAGCAACCTTTATTTTGCCCCAACCCGAAGTGTTTTATACCTCTAGTGCTTCTGTGGAATCAATTACAGATCACAAGGAAGTTCAGCTGTCGGTCAGGGTAAGTGAGGGCAGCTAGATCACAACAGAAATGGTGTTGGCATAACTGGATATCAACATGTATAAGAATGAAAATAGATCCATATCTATCCCCATGCATAAAACAAAGTCCATATGTATTAAAGACCTCAATATAAATCTAACCACACTGAACCTGATAGAAGAGAAAGTGGGAAGTGGCTTTTAATGCATGAACACAAGAGACTACTTCCTAAATATAATACCAGTAGCACAGACACTGAGATCAACAATAAATAAATGGACCTCCTGAAACTGAGAAGCTTCTGTAAAGCAAAGAACACAGTCTATAAGACAAAATGATAGCCTACTAAATGGGAAAAGATCTTAACCAACCCCACATCAGACAGAGGTCTAATCTACAAAATATATAAAGAACAAGAAATTAGGCATCAAAATTGGAAATAAACCAATTTTAAAATGGGGTACAGAACTAAACAGAGAATTCTCAACAGAAGAATCTCAAATGGCCAAAGAAACTTAAAGAAATATTTAACATCCTTAGCCATCAGGGAAATACAAATCAAAACAACCCTCAGATACCATCTTATACCAGTCAGAATGGCTAAGATAAAAAACACCAATGATAGCGTATGCTGGAGAGGATGTGGAGTAAGGGGGACACTCCCCCATTGCTAGTAGGAATGTAAACTTTTATAACTGCTCTGGAAATCAGTATGGCAGTTTCTTAGAAAACTGGGGAAAAAAACCTACATCAGGACCCAGCAATACCCCTCTTGGGCATATACCCAAATGTCATCTGGTGGTGCTTCTGAGCTCAGCCTAGATATGGGGGTAGGGCCTTGGTCTTACCTCAAGTGGTGTGACAGATATTGTTGACTCGCCACGGGAGGTCTTACCCTCTCTAAGGAGTGGATAAGAGGTGGAGAGGGAAGGTGGGGAAAGTGGGATTGGTGCGTAAAATAAAAAAAGATTGTTTTAAAAAAAGAAAAGAAAAATCAGGCAATGGTGGCGCATGCCTTTAATCCCAGCACTTGGGAGGTAGAAGCAGGTGGATCTCTGTGATTTTGAGGCCAGCTTGGTCTACAGAGCTGGACAAGACCAGGACAAGCTCCAAAGCTACACAGAGAAACCCTGTCTCGAAAAACCAAAATAAATAAATAAATATTGGGATGATTGGTCCTTTCTTTGTAACTGCAAAATGCAGTCTGCCAGTAAAAGAACTGCTGAGAAAAACAGCTTGCTTGCTTACACTCTGTTAATCTATAGCGAGTTGTTTGGGTATGAGTGTACGTGGATTCCTGGGGATTTGTTTTTCACCTATAATACGTAAAAGGTTAAATCATGTAATAGAAATGAAAAACATGTTTTTTTTTTAAAACTTGTATTCATTGTAATCACTCACTCGAAAAGTAGAATGTAATCACATTATAATTTCTATATTGCTAAAATATTTTGTTGGTAGTATAAGCTGTAGAGGAAAAATAAAGAGAGGGAATAAAGAAGAATAATGATAGAGTTAGAAGGAGAACATCAAGAATGACAGAAGAAAATCACTAAGAAAATAAAGAATAGAGAACACAGAAGAAGAATAAGAAAACTATCAAGAGAGCGTATGAGTGTCACAGATGGTTCACATTTTATTGACAACTGGATTTCTACATAGACAGGCTTCTGGTTTGTACATTAAAATGGATAAAATTAAGTATACAAATCCCTTTAATATATAAAATTATTTTGACTCATTTTGTGCTATATGATTTAATTAATATTCCCGACACATGTAAAGTTACTCAGTCCCACGTCATTCAGAAGCAGCAACATTAACATGGACACACATAAAACACATGCTCTCCACTGCCACACTTAACCAAACGTCAATATTTGACACTTAACCTAGAAAATCATTAACAAACTTGCAAATTAGCTGCTGCCTTTAAGAATGGTAGAGAAGCCGGGTAGTAGTGGTGCAGGCCTTTAATCCCCAGCACTCAGGAGGCAGAGGCAGGCGAATCTCTGTGAGTTCAAGGCCAGCCTGCTCTACAAGAGCTAGTTTCTAGGACTGGTTCCAAAGCTATGGAGAAATCCTGTCTTGAAAAAGCAAACAAACAAAATAAACAAAAACAAAATAAACAAACAGTATGATGGAGGAGAAGACATGCTAAAAAATTGTTGGCTGAAAATCTCAGCTCAGATGCAGGAAAATTATCAAATCAAATCTCAAACAGGACTAAAACAGTATTCTTCTTTTTAAAAATGTGTGTGTGAGTTGTGTTGTGGATGTAGAAGGAAGAAAAGGTTGCCCTGGAGTTGGTGTGGATACGGGGAATCAGTCTGTGGTCCTCTGGAAGAGGAACAAGCAATCTTAACCCCTGATCCACCTCCCCAACCCCCAGAAGGCTTTGCTCTGGTCAGTTGTCTGAACCACAGCAGTACAAACAGTAATTGGAGCTTGTCAACTCAGTGAGTTTTCTTGCCAATAGCACAGCTCTTAAATGAGACAATTTATACAAACAAATTAAAAGGTGATATTCATATGATTCAAAATGGAAACACCAATGGAGGGAACTTCAAATAATTGAGAAAATTGGGTCCATAGCCAAGTGAAAAGGTCAGCGTATCTCTATTAACATGACTGAAAGCACAAAAGAGACGCGGTTCATCTCCAGAAACAGGCGGATGTGAGTCACAGCCCACATGGCTGTGAACAAACCATGAGAATGGGAGCTCTTCAGCGGTCCCAGATCTTGTTTCCTCATCTACAAGGGAGTTGGAAGAGCCCATTAAAATAAAGTTAGGTCAGCAAGAGAGTGCTTGTTTTGGCCTGATAGCTAGAATGAAGAAAGTGTTAAAAGGTTTATGGCCCTCCTTTCTACATGGGCAATAAATCACTGAAACCTGTTTTACACTCTTTTCCTGGGAGATTTTTAGTAACTATTTAAATGTAGAAGTAAAATATCAAACGGTAAAAATGTTAAAATTTCAGACTGATATTTGGGTTTAAATGGAACCCTTTCCTCCCACTGGATAGCATTGTCTGGCTTAATATGAGGGCTTGTGCCCAGTCGTATTGCATCTTGTTAGACCGTGTTCATTTGATATCCCTGGGAGACCTGCTCTTTTCTGAAGGAAAATGGAGGCTCAGTAGATCTGGGGGAGATGGGGAGTAAGGGTGCACTTGGAGGAGTGGAGGGTGGAGAAAATGTAGTCAGGACGTAATGTATGAGAAAAGAATTAAAAACAAAAAAAAATTATCACTATCAGTTTGTCTACTTTAAGTTTGAATTTTAAGAGGTAATAATTTGAGTAACAGAAAAATGGCAAAGAAGATTTTATTATTCAATACTTCTATAAATACATAACTAATACATACCGACTGAAAAGTGAATATCTTAAAATACTGTCTAGGAAGCAAAGATAAAAACTGATTTCCATGTAGCGATGATCATTCAACCAAAACACCACACAAAACCTATCTTAAACATATGTAGACATACACACACACACACACACACACACACACACAGAGAGAGAGAGAGAGAGAGAGAGAGCGCACAAACCACACTATATATGTTGAGTTAAATTGAAGCACAAATAATGACGAACATCCTCATGTTGGCAGTGCCCTATGACAGTGCAGAGTGCTCTCTATTTCTGTGATGCATAGACACTTTCCCGTGGTCTGATAGGTTCATCTTTGCCATCTCCATCATAAGGACCGCTTTGTGGGCTTCCAGCTGAGTGTTGCTCCGGGTAACTTACAAATGCTATTTGCCTGGAAGTGACAGGGGAAGTCATTCCAGGCCCATTTATCTTGGACATAAATGAGGACAACACAGTCTTCTTCCTTAAAGTCATTGGGTTCACCCTTATGCCAGAATCTGAAAGAGAAGAACAGTGAAATAGAGAGATAGAGGTTATACCACAGGACAATCTAGAGAGAGAGAGAGAGAGAGAACAATAGAGCAAGTGATGAAACAGAGCTGAACCTGCGTGACAAGAGGCACTGGCCAGATGTAGCTATTGAACATTTGAAATGTTTTTTTCACCCCCAGCAGTGGTGGCACATGTCTTTAATCCCAACACTCCAGAGGCAGAGGCAGGTAGTAGATCTCTGAGTTTGAGGCCAGCATGGTCTGCAGAGTGAGTTCCAGGACAGCCAGGGATACACAGGAATGACACTGGTGTTAAAACAGACTCACAGACCAATGGAATGGAACTGAGGAGCCATAAGTAAGTCCGCATTCCTTCATCTACCTGACTTTTCACAGTGAAGCTGACAATGGAGATGGGAGAAAAGAGCGTCTTCAACAAACGGTGCTGGCAGAACTGGATAGCTAACTGTAAAACAACGAAATTGGATCCTTTCCTCTCACCTCACAAAACTCAATTCTAGATGAATCAAGGCTCTCAGATAAAACCTTATTCCCTGAATCTGATAAAGGTAAAAGTAGGGATGCTCTTGAAGTCATGGACACGGGATTTGCTGAACAGGACCCCAGTGGGAAATGGATTAAGACCAATACTAATAAATGGGACTTGATAGTTCTGTAAACCAAAGGACACCACAGTTCAAGTAGAGAGGCAGCCTAAGAAGGGGAGAGGATATTTATCAGCTACACATCTGACAGAGAGTTAGTATCTAGAATATAAAAAGAACTGAAAGGGAAATAGGTAAACACCAGGAAAACAAACGAGGTTTGAAACTAAATGGAGCGCTCTCAAAAGATAAAATACAAATGGCAGAGAAATATCTTTAAAATGCCCAACATTCTTTGCCATTGGGTCAATGCATATTAAACTGCTTTGAGATTTTTATCTTGCTCCAGTCAGAATTCCTAAGATCCAAATAAACAAATAAAGGCAAATGCTGGCATACATGTGGAGAAAGGCAATTACTCATTCATTGTTGGTGGGGTGCAAACTGGTGGAGCCACTAGGGAAATCCATGTGAAGCTTCCTCAAAAAGCTAGAAATCTATCTAATATATGACCCAGCTATGCCATTCTTGGGCATATAGCCAAATGACTCTATATCCTGTAAATGTAGATATGTGCTCATACATTTTCATTAATGTTCTTTTCACAATAGTCAGGAAATGGAAACAGTCTAAAAATCCATCAGTTGAGAGATAGATAATGAAAATATGGTATATTTATGTAACATGAGGGCTGGCTTGTTGGGGTATCTGTTCCCTCCCAGTAACCCACAGCCGGCAAGTCCCAGAGAAAATCAATCACACAGAGATCTCTATAAGTTATAAAGCTGATTGGCCCATTAGCTAAGGCTTCTTGTTAACTCTTATAGCTTATATTAACCCATTATTCTCATCTATGTTAGCCATATGGCTTGGTATCTTTTTCAGCTGGGCAAGTTACATGCTGCCTCTTCGGTGGTCTGCGCAGGAGTGCGGAGGGAGCTTCCTGCTTTCCAGAATATTCCTGTTCTCATCACCCCCGCCTCTACTTCCTGTCTGGTTGACCCACCTATACTTCCTGCCTGGCCAATCAGCATTTTATTAAAATACATGATTGACAGGATACAGACAATTCTCCCACACCATATTTACACCATGAAATATTTATCTGTTAACAAAAATTAAGAAATGTATAGGATGCAGCTGGAAACAATCATCCTGAGTGACAGACAGATAGACAGCCTCAGGCTGACAAATTAAAGCCTAGCGCTAGGAATGGTTTACCTCCTTTGGACTTGTTAGCAAGTGAGGTCCAATAGACCCCTAAATATTACAGCTTATTACCAGTGTTAGTGGTCACCCTCCAGAAATTGACAGTGTGACCCCACTGCTAAAGATAACACAGACTTGAGTCAGAGAAAGGACGCTGATGCTACCTGGAAGCTTCATCGCTGTGGACTAGCTTTCACAGGGCTGACCATGCTGGGAATGTTACCAGGAGGAAAAGGGACTCATCATTCTTGACCCAGCTGTGCACTCGGCAAGCGGAAATGACTGGCAAGACACAACCACTGTTGTCATAGTGACGCAAACATTACAGGGGTAACCAACATTTTCATTGGATTTAAGTCCAGCACCACAGGATGGAGCCCATATCTGGCACCACTGTCAGCCCAAGAACTTGTGGTATAGGTCTTAGGGGAGAGCCTGCACCTTTAGTCTGTTAAAGGAGATAGTACTAGACTAAGTCCTAATGACTTACTATACCCATAGATTAGTGTATCTCTCTGTCTTCATCAGAGATGCTTCTGTTTATCGTAGATGAAGATTAACAGAGACCCACAGCTGGCCAAGGCTCTAAATACTCAGCTCTAACTGGGACATGTTACCACACCTGCTCCTCCTAAGGTTCAGAGATCTTGGTGGATAAAGTGATAGAGTTGGAGGAGATGGGTGACTGCAAGGAAATAGTGTCCTCCAGACACAGCGTGACTGCTGCTGCACATATGAGCTCACAGGGATTATGGCAGCAAGCTCAAACCTTGCGCAAGCTCAAGGTGTCTCAGACCCCAGCATGGAGAATGGAGATGGGCACAAAGTCCCCTTGCCACTCTTGGGAACTGATATCGGCTGGGAGAGGGAGAGTCAATTTGAAGAGAGTCTCAAATAAAAAAGAAAACTAATTTTAAAAGAGAAAGAAAGGAATGGGGCTTCTCCATACTGAGATGTCCTTTAAGTGTTAAGTGTATGTGGCTGAACTATGTTAAATACATTATTAATAGCTGATAATATATTACTAAACTAGGAGGTAGTGGCACATGCCTTTAATCCCAGCACTAGGGAGGCAGAAGCAGGCAGATCTCTGAGTTTCAAGTCAATCTTGTCTACAAAGTGAGTTCCAGGACAGTCAGAGTTGTTACACAGAGAAACCCTGT